GTGATCGTGAAGTCCCTTTACCACATCAGCGAGCGTTCCCTGGGAGAAAGGATCCCATGCGTCTTTATTAGGACTGCTCCTTTGTTCCAGGAGAAGGACCTGAGAAGGGTACTAAATATCTGAAGAAAATTATAACCTGTTTCAAATTAACTGATTCTTTATTATCTGATCATTCAGTTGAATAGAATTCACAGTTTTGGCTCTTCTTCCTTTGCCTTGGACGTGTGAAGTGCTAACCTAATCAACGAATGCAACTTATTTTATTGGTTAGTTTGTTATTGGCTACTACAAATCACGAAGGGAAAAGAGAAGACTGGCCTGCGTAATCAGATGTTTGAATTCAGCGTTCTGAAAAATCCTCTTACTTCTGTACTGCACAGCACCACAAACTCATAAAACACTAAAAAATCCAGTATAGCATGCAACAGCTGTACTGCATAATTACTTGGCCCAATAGCAGCAGTTTTAAAATACTGGTATATCTGTTGCAGGCCACCATACATTATCATTTCATTTTCAATAAAAAGTCTGGGATGTTTCAGATGAGCTTCAATGGAATTAGAATCATGTGTGCTTTGAAATATTTATGCTTGCCTTGAGATGGAAGGATAGTTCCTGCCTCCAACCTCCCCCCATCAAATAATAGCTTTAATAACGCCAGATAGTCCAACTCCTCCATACCTACAGCAGGTAGAAATGAAGTTCTGATCTGGAATACACATATTTTCATAGGTTGTAGAACTTACATTTTATGTCATTTAGTGAGGTCAGTAATAAAATATAAATGTCACAGGCTGAAAGACGCCAAGAGAAATATGGTTTGGCAGCATGGAGCTGCTTAGGGATACATAAATAATAAGTCAATAAGTAAATAAATAATAGACAAAGACCTGTTTTATCTTCCATTTGAAGATCTCAAAGAATTTACAGTCACTGATTGAGACTTGTAATATCCCATCAGAAGCACATAAGTAGTAATAACCCCTTCTTATACACAGGAAAACTTGCATCACTGTAGGCATGGCTTTCAGAAGCAATGCCTTAATTTTTATTAGGCGTTTCTGAAAGCCATGACTGAAGGGGTTTGTTCATGGTCACTTGCCCCTTTTGGAGGCAAACAAGGAAAATAGCAACCTGCTCCACTACCTCATGTCCTTTAACTGATTAAAAATGTTTGTGAGGATCCATATATTTGGAAACACGGTTGTGTTCTGCACTCAGAATTTGTTTGAAAGGCTGTTTTTGCATACACCAGAGTGACCACAACACAGCTATCAGCGTAATGGTCTGAATCTGGGCTAGCAGCTTTTAGATTTTAGCATTTAATTCCCTCTTTCTAGTATAAGGCAGGCACACTTGTAATGTTGATCAGTTTAATAGCAGTAGATTCTTCCTCTGCTCATTTTGCCACTTGAGAAATTTGGTATTTCCCAGTTAGAGACTGCAAAAACAAACATTTTGGAGATCTTTATTTCATTCTTGACTTCTTCTGCTAATCCATCTACTCTCAGAAAATGAACCCTGCATGTCAGTATATGGCACAGACTGGGGACTGATGCCTATTCGGTCTTGTTTCCTTCCCCCAGTCTTTCCCGTGATCAACAGAAGATCAGCCCCTTGGAGGCTAAGACTCCAAAGGGGAACCGCTTTCTCCTTCTTGCAGCACTTTACTTCCCTGAAGTACTGTTGATCATTTCTGCATTCATTTTTCTTCTCTTGCTCTCTTTGGGAAGATCACCAACAAATGCTTTTCACTTTGTTTTCTACCCTGACATGCTGAGGAGGTCGAGGCAACAGAGAAAGACCCAATACTTACAGGCCTATGAGTATTTCTAATAACCATAACACGTCTTTCATACAGCAAATCAAATTACTAAATGAAGAGCCATATCTTGGAAAAGCTAAATAGAGTGTGGTCTCAGGCCTAGCTATGAATTTCCATGTTCCCTCAGTACAATTTTTTATTCCTTCGTGTTTGATTGAAATAGTGTTTCTATCTCTTTTTCACCCAGTAGAAGAAAAGGAATTAATTTGTTCCCAGATTTGGACAAAGGACAGTGCAGTTGCATAACAATTTTAAATAGTATTAACAGAACTGGTGCTAAATTATTTTTTATAAATGTTCAAAAAAAATCCCAATCTATTTTTTGCTTAATTAGATGTTTGTCACATAATTTTTCATTTCTCACTTTTATCTTCATCCTTCATCTTTCATTTGGCACACAAGGAAAGGGGGAACTCTAACAGGAGATACGAAGAAAGAGAGGAAGGATATGTTTTATATCAAAAAAAGTACCGAAATGTTGTATGCTAATGGAAATTTTGTTGTAGTCATCAAAATGATTATCACCAACTTTTGTTGAACGAATATTCGTGGCAAAATATTTTTACAAGCTCTAAAATGACTGTTGCTTCCCAGAGGAGGTGATGATACATTCATACCTGTAAAGTGGCTATGACGTAAGTGTCATTAAAGCAGTTACACCTCAGGGGTTGGTGTAAGTGAGATCAGAGGCTGACGCTTTGGGTGGAATTCACCTAACTGAAGGTGTGTGCGTAGACTGGAGGTATCTGCCTCGGAGCTAGTACCAGTGGGCTCCCTTCACATCCACTGGTAAGCCAGTCAGTGTGGTCAATGAAGTACAGTCAAAGGCAGTGGTCTATTTTTGGATGAGATGAACGGCTCCTTAGACACCATTAGTTCTCTTTAGTTCTCCATTGATTCTAAGATAATTAGCTCCATAGTAGACACCCACATTTACTAAGGTGAATCTCATGTTATCTCTACCTTTAATAGCACACTTCAAAGTTACAGCCTCTGCCGGAGTTTGGGGACAGGAAAATAGCCTTCATTTCTTCCTTTGAAGATTTGGATTCTTTATCTGAAGAGTTTTCAAATATAATTTAAGATGCAAACTCAGAACAAAACTATTCGTCTTAAAAGCGAATAAGAAATAATTAACTAGGTTCGTAAAAAAACAAGAGATAAGCCCAGATGTGCAGACAGGTTGAACAGGCTGGGCACACAGGTGTTTGCCTTGGCCATGGAATAACTGTCAACATTTCCATAACAAGGAGTGTGGGATATGCTGCTTCTTGTTCCCTTCTCCCAAGTGCAGCATTGCAGAGCTAGCACGGCTGTGGGAAGACACTGTTTTCCAGTTCAGCCCACATGCCACAATATCTAGCTGTTACGAGATAGGTATAGCCCGTGCTATCAGAAGAGATTCACTGGATATACATCTACTTTGATGAGAAGTAGCTGAAGGCTTCTGTTGTGAATATTTCAAAGAGCATTAAGGGGAGCAGAATGGGAAGACCAGTGAGGTTAACAAGGTTACAGGGGGACTTTTTGTGGCAAGGACAAGAGCTTCATATTCATCCCATATCAGCACCCCAGGTGTGAGTGCTGCTCTTTTTGGTGGTGGTGTCAAAGCAACCATTCCTATCTAGTCGTGGAGAAAGAAGTACGTAGAAGTGCTGCCCAGCCAACCCTTAATGAATGTTTATAGCATAATGCAGGACGTTTCCTTGCTGCTGTCTCTGACTACATGTTTTATCCACATCTTCAGGCTCTGAGTTTGCTAATGGTTTAATTATGCTTAAGAAGAAAGTTATTAATAAAGTGTCATATTTTTGAATGTGATGAACAAGACTAAGAAGCAGATTTTAGCTTTTCTTTAACTGGGGATTTTTCATAACATTCATCATTAAATGAGTGTTTACTCGGTTGTATTTGATTTTAGTTAACTTTCCTGCATCTCTCCAATTTTTCCAAAAGTGACAAAGGCTTTTTTTTCCCTCTTGTATACTTAACCTACTTCAAAGCCAACACATGAGTTTCTGTAGGACATTACCTCCCTTGCATAGCCTTTATCTAATCGGATATGTGTGGTGTACAAGTGCAGTAAACGCACATGGACACGCTTGAAAGGTCACTAGGATAACATGCTAAGGGAGCAACAGGGGCGTAATGATGACTGTTTGGTGAGAAATCAGCTATGAGTTACAGATGAGCTTCTGCTTAACTAAATTAATTGGCCATTCGAAAGGAAAAGTGAATTCTCATTTTAGAGGGGAAAGGGAGAATTCATAGCACTATGAATGGCAGCAGTTGCTACCTCATGGTGACAACTAACAGTGGAAAGTCCTGTCACCTAACAAGGGTCTGACCTGATATATCTTGAAGGCCAAGGAACTAGGTAAAGGTGTCACATAACGTAGGAGACCATAAGGCTCTTCAGCTGCACTTGTAGGTCTGCTGAAATCAGCTGAGGGTAAAATCTGTCATTGCCAATGGGCTTGTGTACATTACACCTTTACACCTTCACTGTAGTACATTTTCCAACTGGCTTGTTTGCCCATAAATTCACCAAATTAAACTCCATCCCTGAATGCAAGCTGGGGGCTTGCTGAAGATTTGAGCCTAACGTTATTCAGGAGAAATGTAAATGTAATTTTCAAAACAATCTTGCCACTTTGTGCATGTTCATTAGATGAAAACACGTTACTTAAAATAAACGTTCCTAAACTGAGGTGGAAAAAAACCTCCAACAACAGGAAGTGCTAGACCATCTTTAAATTATCAACCATTTATAGTACGATATAAAATCGATTCATATGTGCAAATCCAAGTTACATGAAATGTCAACTAAATCAGCCCTAATCTCCCAAATACATTTTTTTATTGCCTGATTGATGAGGACTGCTCTTAAGGTGATGAATAGTTTTCACTTTTACAAAGGACTGCTGATTCCTTTATACGTGTCCATTAAAAACACAGAAAATCCTTTAAAATGTCTGGCTCCATTTGTTTTCAGGACCTAGATGAAGTGAGTGTAGGACACAATGTGGTCTAATATATTAATTGTGAAGATCAGATGTATAAACAATACTGTACATTTTAAAAAAAAGACTAAAAGTAAAACTACGGTAGACTTAAACTGTTTTATTTTCCAAAGGCAAAACTCTATATAACTTCTTTGTTTTCTTTCCTATAGCAAGTCCACATGCAACACCATCGACTCTTCATTTTCCAACATCACCCATTATTCAACAGCCTGGGCCATACTTCTCACACCCAGCAATCCGCTATCATCCTCAGGAGACTCTGAAAGAGTTTGTCCAACTTGTCTGCCCCGACGCTGGTCAGCAGGCTGGACAGGTGGGGTTCCTAAATGTAAGGAAGCCGTTTTTATTTCTTCAGAAGTGTTTGTCCTATGTAAAATTAACCATGGGATTATGGGATTATTTTAACAGCATGTTGCATAAAGGGACACACCCTGAATAGTCGTTGGAAGAAAAAAAAAAAACGCTGCTACTGCAAAAATATTAAAAAAAAAACAACAAAAAACCTCCCCAAAAAACCACTCGACCACATTGTGGTGAAATTAACTTAAACTGTCAGAGAAGCCGGTGATACAGTGACCTTTTGAGTCCCTCCACAGATGACTTTGCTGCATGTGTTGTAACCCTAGTGGAACGAGGGTTAACAAAATATGAAGGCAGAATAATTTTTATTAATTATTTTTGAAGTTCAGGGGAGAGTGGGGGGGAAGGAGCAGGAAAAGGGAGGGTGAGAAACAGATGTTTCAGATCAGCTAAGTTCATTAAAAAAAAAAATACTGCCTTATAGCACTTTAGATCAAGTTGACCAGTACTTGAACTCAAGATGTTAAAAGTACAGTTTATTATGGTTTGTTATTTCTGTAAGCAGTTATCTTTTCCCCTTATCTCTATGAAAAATTAAGCAGAGTTCCAAAGCTTCAAATAACCATTTTCATTTTTTTAAATCAAATAAAGTGAATCATCTTGCTATTATTGAAACAGCATTCTGGTCAAATACAGAATTTATAAATTTTATGTAAATCAAATCTAAAATAATGCTCTGAATATTTCATGAAATGTAATGCATGTAACTGTGTCCAGCCAATGAAGTAATAACTGGCAAAATTACTGTTTCTCTCCTGACATACATACGACTGAAAGTGTTAATAAGAATTAGTTTAATTATTAGCATCTAATTTATTACACTTATTTAATAAGCTATATTGTTGTCGGTGCTTTCCTTTCCCTAGCAGAAAAACTGACTCTACTTATCCCAGCCAGTACTGGCTTTGAATAATGTCTGCAATATGTTAGCAGATACATTTATGTCTAGACAACAAATCAATATAGTGCTTTTCTTTTTCCTTGAGTATTCATTTGCTTAATTTATCCCAAACCATTCAGCATTATGAACTGTTAGCACACTCACAATGAACATACAGCAGGGGTCTTCTTGGCAGGAAAGGGACCTAATTGTGAGACAAGATAGTGTTTGAGAGATGTCACTAATATATTAGTTTATTAAAGGTACTGGATGTTGGAAAAATAAATATCCCTGAAGGATTGCTTCTTACCGCAAACAGTGGTAACTGCAGTCTTTGAAGTCAGTGGGAGTGCTGTTAAGTTAAATGCAGATGAATTCAAGTCTTCTTTATGCCCTGAACCATTTTTGCTCTAGCACAAGTGTGATTTGCACCGGCACAACTTTAAGGCCTTTTGTCAGTGCCAAAGCAGGTGAAATGAAAAGAAGGTCCCGAGCGCTTGCCAGTACGAGTATTTTGTCCCCAGTAATTTAGGCTAATGGAAACCCTAACAGGAATTAAAATATTATTTTCTTTAGCAGTACTTACAATATGGATCTGTGTTTAAAGCTGAGCTTTTATCATCCATGGAAAAGCCAATGCTCAGTGCCAGAAGAACTGCAGTGAGATCAATTTGTAGAGTGCTGTCGAAAGTGATCTCACCATTTTTGTCACTAAAATGGAACACCTGATTTACAGGCTGTCCTACTTTCTCTTTATAATGGTGTTTGGCATCTATCTGTATGGTTTTCAAGTGTCCAGGCTGTGTTACATTTAAAATGTAAACTTAAGTTGGGGGAAGGGATGGCATTTTTTTAAGCCTGCTTCTTGTTTTTGTGCTACTTGAAAACACTTTTACTTATGGATAGTTTTTTCTGGTGATTAACTGAAAGACCACACTTACATAGCTGAGCCCATCCTGCCTGTGACTGACCGCATTCCCAGACTAAATGGAGGGGTTTTTTGCCTAATATGTAGAATGAAGCAGTTCAGTCTTTTCTCCATATGATCCTAATAGCAACTAAACTGTGAGCTACACTATTGCTAACTCAAGAGAGATGTGGGAGAGCAGTTACTTTAATATATACTCTTTCATTTTCCTGTAATAAGATATCAGCATGACTTTTAAGACCACCAAAAATGCTTATTTTTTCTCTTAATGAGCAGTATCTTTAAGAAATTTACACTCGTCCTAGGCACTGATATCCTAAGGGTATAACAGAGGCATGAAACTGGGGGACTTAAGGGGTCAAAAATACTGCTTCAACTCTCACTAAGCATGAGTTGTGGCTCATGAGCATGAGAGTGGCTGTAAAGAGTAGTAGAATTTAATCCAGGGCAGTTCAGACCAGCTGCTAATAGGAAAAATGTTTAGAAGTGATAATTTCGGTAGTTTCACAAGGTTCACAGGGTTTGGGACAAAGTTCCTTGAAGTCAACGGAGAATTTGACCCAGCACTTTCTTTGCCACCTCTCAAATAGTTGTAAATGTATTGCATATAGCTTTCGACTAGATTGTTGTTACTGGAGGTTCCTAATAGCTGATTTTTAGTATAATTTTTGTCTGTTTGCTTGTTTTTTGGCAGCCCAATGGTAGCAGCCAAGGCAAGGTGCACAATCCATTCCTTCCTACCCCAATGTTGCCACCACCACCTCCGCCACCAATGGCTAGGCCTGTGCCTCTGCCAGTGCCAGACACAAAACCTCCAACTACATCAACAGAAGGAGGGGCCACCTCTCCCACTTCTCCAAGTAAGTATAGACGCAGCGGGAACCAAGGGCTAACAGTAGCACGCAACATGCTGCGATCACCGTCTATCGGCTGGTCAGACATGAGGACTGGATGAGCTCTCAGGAGTAGGAGAGCTCTCCACTCTCTATATGATGGACAAAATTCTGAGCTGCTTCTATATTAACAAGAAAAGAGTTAGCTTAAGGTTATAGTTTTACTTCTGACTTTGTTGGCATATCACATAACGACGTATGAGAGAAATCAAGGCCAGCAGCTAAGCTGTGACATAGACCTCGGATCTTTGGGATCTTGTTTACTGTCATAAGGAGGCAAGTTGGTATCTCAAGTCAGGCTTTAGAGGATAGATACTACATGGAAGTCAGACAGATAGCTTCATCAAAAACATCGCCGCTTATACATACTGGGCTACACTAACAACTCTTTCGAGTTCACTTCATTTATAGGTCGTTTGGGAATAAATCTTCCTAGATTAACCCAGACGTCTTTCCTTTATGACTCGGTTCCCGAGCCCTGCATTTTGGGCAAGAAGTTATGGTATTTCTTAGGCCCAGGGAGAAAACTTTAATCCTCTCTCCACCACCCACACGGCTCCCATATGTATTTTGTGTAGCCACAAGTCAAATATACAAATTCCTAGATACACACTTGGGGATACCACTTTGGACTCGCTCTTCTGGGAAACAAATGCAAGTCAGCTGGGTTTGATGCTTTAAAAAAGTCTGGATGTTCAGGGAGTTAATTGTGAAATGATTTAATGAAGCTATGCTCAAACTGACATTTAAAAACAAAAGGGAAGCTTTCAGTGCTTTAATGGCAACTGTAGGGGACTTGTTCCACAGTGAAGGGAGTCCAAATAACATCCACAAACAAAAATCAATCTAATCGAAAGAGCAAATCCCTTTGTGTGCTTTTCAAGCTTATTATTGAAATGCTATATGCAACCACTGCACGATGTGCAAGAGGTATTCGCTATTCAGACCATGTGAAGCCTACATTTTTAAAGCTTTATATACTGTTCAGGAGATTTGCACAGGTTCCGGGGGCATTTTTAAAATCTGGTAGTTCTCAGAGTTTTGCATTGCCTTCTGCTACGCGATAGTGTACAACTGCAAACTCAGCAAGATGCTCCAGCTCGCTTCAAAATTAAAATGGGGTTTAGTACGAGACAGTCTGGTAAGACTGTGAACATGATCTTCTAGAATCAGGACTTCTAGAATTGATCAGCAGATTTTTGTTGAGCTAAGAAGTTGATTCATTTCGTCCCCTGCGTTCCTTTTTCTGACCTTAGACCAACACTTGTGCTATCAAGAAGTTTTGATGCTTTCTGACGGGAGATACTGTCTTTTAGGTCCTATCAATAGGATTCAGCGGTGGAATCCAAAAGGTTAATGTTTAGTCATAGTTATCACTGAATATAGTCAGCAATACCTTACTATTTCATTGGCTTCAGAACCAGGAAAAATGAAACTAGGTCAATGTATATTTGTCATTACAGTTGTGACTCAGTTTACTGGCAGTGTGTGGTGTCTAAAAGAAAAAAATTCCCAACATCATTTTAGCAGTAATCTTAATACTTAATTTTTATGATACTGTGTTAATGTAAACAAGCTAAATGCGTGTCTGGCCTGATTCTCAGCTGGCATAAAAACTGGCACTTGGCCGCTGAAGTTCGCAGAACACCACCCATCAGTATCGGCTCGGGCTGGTCACTGTGGCTCAGTGTTCAGCAGACAGCTGCCACGTTAATTGGGAATCGAGATTTTCTCAAGAGCAGCCAGTTAATGGTATTTAAACAAAAGATTAGGAAAATAATTACTGTTTGTTAATTAGCTACGCTGATGTCTAAACATATAGTTCTGTACATATTCAGGCGTGCATCTTCCTTTTGGTAAGGGTTTTGAATAATAGTGACTTGAGTTGTAAAGAAGCATATAATTTAATTTAGGGACAAATTTTACGGAAAAGTAGATTATAAGAAATATTTTCTAAGAAAAAATACTACATATATATCAAAGCCAGTGGAAGTAGCTGGCCACATAAAGAGTAAAACAAACCGAAGTTCCTAGCCTTGCCTTGCAGTGAGAGCTTACCAGAAGGGCCCACTGGACTCCATTTAGTGTGTCAATCAGTACCAACCCTCCATTTTCGTCGGTGTTTATTTTTTTCTTAACTAAATATTAGCCTTCAAATAGCAAGTGCAGATCCACCAGAGTTTCATAGAAGCCACACAAAAAGGTGTTTTCCATGGTTACAAACTGCTCAAGTGCACCGGTTCTGGGAGTGTCGCTGGGTTATGGCTGACTGCCCTGCAGAGCTTGAGGATATTGGAAAGTCACTTATGCAACAAAGGCAGGAGTGATGTTAGATTTTGGCCAGACTCTCTCCTTCACTGTGTGGAGGAGAATAAAGCCCCCCCCAAGGAAATGGAGTGAAAGGGGTTGGCATTTGCTCCATTCTCCTTCCCTTTTTTGGTCTAGCAGAAAGCTCTCTGCAGAAACAAAACGCAGTTACGGCCCTACCAAAAATTGGAATATGGCCCTCCTGAGGGGTGCAGGAGCCAGGAGCAGCTGTTCAATACAGCATGGCCTCCTGGGAATGAAAGCTAAAAATCACAACAAGGTGGTTAATGATTCTCAGAGCAATAGTGAAACTCTCCAGCTGTGACATTAACCAAAACATGAACATTAGTGCTGTCCAAGGAAGGAAGAGCCCCTGGAGATGCACACCGGGGAGTTGCTGCTACTGGGTGGCCAGGCATGCCCAGGGACTTGAAAATTTCAGCTGTGAATCCTATCCCTTTGGCAAGCCAGCATTTTCCTCAGTGAGATGACACAATGGAGATGGGATTCATGAGGTTTGGGAGGGTTCATTTTTCCTCCATAAAAAGCCTTTTCAATAGAACACATCCTTGATATCAGACGCAGCCCCAAAATTATCTTATCTCAGATCTTGTCTCGATTTTGTTTGGTTGGTAACCCATAACAAACACAACACAATATTTTCCTGAACTTGACAGCTTCTGGGTTTAATACCTCATTGCCCAAAGAAAACACCACCTCCACTGCATGCCAGTTGGACTTTATCACTATCATAACTGAATCTGAGTGTTAGAATCTGTGGCCCTCATTCCAATGCAGAGTCTAAGATACTGCCATCCTGTACGCCATGACTTTTAAAGAGCTTTTTAAAACTAAATGTTATTTTCTAAGGTTCGCATCTCTACATGGGGAGAAACTTAGCTATTTTCCCTTGTTGGGCAAGATCATTATCGGTTAATGTCCCTTTGCACAAAGGAGTTTTCATGTTAAACAGCATTTGTGTCAGGATGAGAAGAATGATCTTGTGGCTGTAGTCCTGGATTCATAATCAGATTGGATTTCTCTCCCTTTCTCTGCTATGCATTGACTGAGCACCCTCTGGGCAAGCCATTTCAGCTTTCTGTTCACTCCTTTCCCCATCCATAAAAAGAGGGTGATGACTGTATCATTTAATTTGTTAGAATTTGCAGTTCCCTCTCAGATACTCAGCTGCAATGCACTGCAGTAGGAATTGCTGTATTGCACCACGTTCCTCCAGTTAATTCGCTCACTACAACTCCACAACAGCTAAACTGACTCTTAGTCCTTTTCAAAACGGTACAGCTCTTGATGTCAAGCACACGTACCTGTCATCTTGGCCGGTAAAAGAGAGACCTAGTGGTACGTTAGGTTATTGTTTACCCAAATCATCTTTACCAACCAAAAGTTTATCCTTTTAATCCAGAACTGTCTGATAAATGACACACTCCTATACTTAAGAGAAATTATTTCAGGAATGTGTATTTTAAATTAACGTTCTCCTACTCCAGGCAACTTTAAAATACATAACATTCCCAAAACTGTTTGTTTGTCTCGTCTTTCATACGATTTCTTGCCATTTTTGGCTAAATATCAAAGCTGTCTATGTGAGCAAATGTTCTTTCTCTGCCGGCTCCTGTTTTGCTTGTTCCTGAAGTGAAGCATCATAGCAGATTTGTGGCATCACATTCATTTCCTTGGCTATGGGCTATGATGTTGCAAACAATCCTTAGTGAATTCCAGTAGCAGAAAGACTAGGCTGGGCAGGAAGATGTTTCTATTAAAGCCCAACAGGCTAGCTATCAGCTAGTGTAAACTAGGGTAGATCTATGCAGTACCTGTGGAGCAAAGCTGATAAAGACCAGGAGAAGATCTGCCTAAGAGACTTGGCTTCTCTTCCTTCCCATGCTTAGGCTTTTCCCTTTCCTAAAAAGGAGTTTGAAGACCCCACTATAGGCTTAGCCTATCTGTGTATACCATAATATAATATGACCCAGCTTTAACCAGTGAGTGGTAGGACTTCCAAGAATCCCACCTCCATGTCAAATGAGGGTCTTTATATGAAGACAGTAAGATACGTCTAGAAGCCATGTTGGTGATGGTCTAAGCCATGTTGGTGATGGTGATGCTCCCTTTTCTGAACCAAATGTCACTGTAACAAGAGTCACTGCTAATGTGTATCCCATGTCAATTTAATATTCTGTGCCAAAATGGCCCCTTACAATCCGCAAACATCTCGTGACATTTTACAGTGAAGCGGGACTAGCATCTTGGGAGAATCCAGTGTATATACTCTTCATATATGTAGTTTTGGTACTCTTCGCTTCTTGGCTGTAGACATGTAATTAAAGGCCCCTAAGGAAATACCAAGCTGACATCGGAGCATTTTCAGAAAGCAAGTTAAACGTAGTTTGGAGCATTACAGAAGAAAGGTATACATGGTAATTCACCCAGCAAGGTTTGAGGGGACTTTTGTGCATATTGTACAGTTTTCAAATGCTTTAGAATTTTTGTTTGAACAGAGAAGCCATTTAAGACAGGATTCTGATGGTTTCCCTTTGATTTTCTACCAAGTATCACAGCAGAAGTATCTGCCAGTAGGGAACTGTAAACAAGACCTTGAGTTCCTTCCCTTCTGGGTGGAACTTACCTGTTCCAGGGGATTAAATGCCCTCTCCACTCATTCTGCTTCCTTCAAAGTAGACCAGAAGAACCAAAGAACAGATGTTTGATTTTTGAGCTTTAAGTCAATTTTCCCTACTGCAGAAGAAATCTTCATGCTTGCACAACATAGGGTTCATTCGTTAGTTAGCTTAAAAAAACCACCTCACTGTACAACAGTACAGAAGAATCTTAATACATGGCACTTACAACAGAGATATATCCTTTGCAAATGTGTGGCTTCTTTGAATTATTAAGCAAATTAAGATGGTAAAAAGGCAAGGAGAACATCTCACCAAATCTACTCATTTCATTTCTTCCTTGATTTGCGGATATGAATAACAACCGATGTGCCTGTTCATCCTGAATATGCAAGCTGCACTGCAATTTGCAAAATCATCTAGGAAAGATGAATTAGTGCACTTAAAAATTCCTTTAAAACTTTGTGAAGGAAAGGTGTTCCTTGCATGATTTTTGCAAGTACTAGCAAAGTGTTAACTTTTTGGAGAGAAAAGCTCACCTCACCAGAAACAACTGGGACGAATTCATTCTTAGAAGTCAGGAGTGCCTTATCTCCCCTCGGATCAGTAAGAAATGAAGATATGCAGTTCCTGGCGTGATTTCAGGGCAATGCTCTTTGAGAAGGTGAAGTGGTCTGATTGATAGAATTGTAAGAATTAGGAGGCATCAGAAGATGTTTGTGAGACTTGGGTAGAGAGGGAAGGGAAGGATGTGGTTCTGTATGCTCATAGACTTGGGAACTCTTCACCAAAGGGCTTTGTGGGATGCAGAACGTTTGCATGGGTTCAAGGGCAGATTGGGCATTCATCAGTGAGAAGTCCCTTGCAAGCCATTAAATACGGGGAGTCCCTGAGCTGAAAATAATCAGAGGGTGGGAAAGAATATGAGAAAGTAAATATGTGACCTGTTTTGACTCTTTCCTGTGCATCTGCTTATGGCCTCTGTAAGAGAGAGGACAGTGGATAAGGTGGAGCATTGGTCTGATTCAGTACCATCTTAAACAAAAGGCTCCTCCAATGTAATGCCTCTTCACCAAACATTTTGCCTTCAGAAGGGCAACAGACTTTCATCTACACGGACAACGCAGTGTCTTCTCCAACTCTTACTGCATTTTATTCTTCTGTAGTGTTGAGGCCTGAACATTATATTTAGCCTGACTGGAATTTGGCAAGTAACTTTCCTCTTAACATTGTTTTTTGTCTCTTCTTTGGATAGTTAGATTGTCTGGGGATTTTATTCAGCAGAATGCATTCCCATAAATATATTTAAAATAGACAGAATCACTGTTCGTATTAAGGCGTCTGCTTAGGTTATTTGAATTTAGATCTGAACATGCAAAAAACTGAACAAGGGAGAAGATTGCATGGGGGATTTTCAAATGAGAGGAAGACTGAAACTGCATTGAAAGCTTTTGGATGTGGAAGTACGTGGCATTGTGGACAGTTGCAGTGGAGAATATAATGCAACAATAAAATCATTAAAGTACTTCAAGTTTGGAAGTAATCTGGGTTCTTGGCTTGCATTGCATTTAATAGCTTTACATTTATGGGAGCCATTCCAGTTTTTAAAGGCAGCTTCAGCCTTCAGACTGATTGCACTTACCACCCCAGCGAAACTGCAACCCATTAATTTTTTACCGAAAGGATCTTCCTAGTTTGTCAAACACGTCAAGTGAACATTTTAGAGAGTGCAGACTGCAGCAGTATGAAAACCAAAACTTTGTACCGAGAGAGAACGCTGGACTAGCATGAAATAAGGGTCTGATTCTGTTAATAAGCAGCTTAGTAAATTCACTGCTTTACAAAACTCCACTAAAACCAGAGACTCCACCTCATATTGGAGGGAAAATAGTCAGGCAATAGCAGGTCCTACAGAAGTGTCTTGTGCGTCCCCAGCATGGAAGGCCTGCAGCAGTTCTCCTCGGGGATGGAGAGCGGCGCAGGTGGCCCCGGCGCACTCCTCCCCGAGCGCACGCGGCTGCCGTCCTGCCCGGCAAGGAGCCCTCTCCCAGCAGCCCGGTCCCCTCCGTGTTTATATCCCCATCGTTAAGACCAAACCTTTCCAGTGTCTAAAACCAAACTCTCGCTCTCTAAAACGTTTGCACATTTCTATGTTAAACATCTGCTTAGGTGGCTCTGAGACAGTGTGTTTTGGTGTTGTTCGTGTGCAAATCTAGTGCCGCTTCCTCAACGCATGTGTCCCTTCCCTTCACAGCCTACTCGACACCCAGCACCTCCCCCGCAAACCGATTCGTCAGTGTTGGACCACGGGATCCAAGCTTTGTAAATATTCCTCAACAGACTCAGGTGGGCCGCTTTCGACTTCTCTGTATGCCTGCAGCCTCTTCTTCTTCAGTGCACTCTAACGTGTCCCCGCGGAGCCAGCTGCCTTGCCGCTGTTACTTCACCCACATGGTCTCAGTAACTACAGTGAAATGTCACTTGCAGTTTGTTTGTCTGTTGTGTTTTTTTGGGCTTATGTAGTAATAACGCTGCTTTTGTAACTGGAAAGAGCTCTCTTGCTTTCTAAGATACTGGCTGCTAGTGCGGTTTTTTCCTCTAGGACTGAGTTCTCAAAGACTTTTGCTCCAACCTGTTCCCTAGGCAGCGCGTTTAATTGTACGTGCAGAAGGAGCTGAGAGAGACCCGTCGGGTAACGGTGCACTTAGTCCCCCACCAAATATGACGGGAGACTGCTCCGATGACTCCCGTGTAAAAAAATAGGCTTGAATTCCTGGTTGGCCATTTGCATGGTGGGCTTTGAGCGAGCAGGAGATTTTGTGATTGCGAGCACATCTGTTTCCTTACACAAAGAGAAAAAAGTCCGGTTGAGGCAGGCCTATAAAGCTGGGTTAACTGAATTCATAGTCCTGCTATGGTCAAATCAGAAGCTCAAGTAAACATTTGTGTTTCTTTAGGAGAAGGACGAGGTTTAAATGTGCTTTTTCCAAGCTGTATCAAATTCCCAGGGTCGATTAAGAAAATAGTTGTTGGCAGTTTTGTTAGCAGCTAATTTGAGCCAGATGTTGAAAAAATTAAGTCTGTGCTTAATATCACGTTATCATGGGGGAGAAGGTATAAAGAAGTGAGCAGAACTAGTGCTTTAGGACAACTGTAGTTTGTAGATTTAAGTGATTGCTTGACTACGTTACAATTCTTTTAAAAGTCAACAGCAAGAAATATTTGTAATTTTGTTTTAGCTGGTTGGGATTGCTAAAAAGTAATAATTCAAGTAACTAGCAAATTGGGGAGTACTGCTCTTAGCTCTTGCAAGTTCTTTCAAATAGTTTCTATGCATCTGAATAATTAGTGTACAGATTAATGGCTGTCACATGCCACAGTCCAGTATATGCATGAAGACAGACACCTCATTGCGATGGCTTCAGCACCTACGCTGTCGGTGAAACGCAAGTCACTCATTACCGAAGATTTTCAGTTTAGAGGGCTGCAACCAGATGCCTGTGAACACAATATGTTTTCTTGCTATCTGTTCTTTGTGTACGATTTGTTAGGGGCTTTAGTTTATAGCTCTGTCGACAGCACAGGTTAAACTACATCGAATCTCAAACCTTCTCTGCATTAAATAGGGTCACAGAAAGTACACCAGCAGTACAGAGCGGGGTTTTAACCCATCAGGTTCTGATTTTTTTTCATGCCTTAACAAAACGCAGCCTGCACCCCACTTTTCAGGCCTCTTCCTTTATTCGGTTCATGTACGTGACAAGTTTTCATGCGCCTTCACATTAAAATCAGATTTCTCCAGTCATTTTGGAAGCAACTGGAATACACAGACGTACACTGAAATCGGGATACAGGAATGTTAAGGTATACTGTTAAAGTCCTTAAGCATTTGGTCTTTTCCTTCATAGCTCAGGAAACTTGAAACCCTTTGGAGAATGCTACTCTACCTTTTCCAGAAGACTTGAAAAACTACTAGTTGGTAAATTGATTATGTAGTAAGACACAACAGTATTAAGTCTCCAAAATATTTTAAACTTATTTGCACCCTGCAGCCTAGGCTTCCCAGATAAGTTTGTTGACTGTAAACTTTTATCCTCCTTATTTATGACTTAAATAATTTTAAAGTGCTCTAGCTTTACTTTAAGTGCTTCTATGTAATGCAGTATAGTGAATAACAATGCTGTACAGTGAAAAACAATACTCAAGCACAGCTTTCAATTAAAGTCAAACATGCTGCAGTGGGTAAGGAGGCTGACTTCCAGTCTCTGACTCCAGCTGCATCTCCGTGCTTCTATACGTCATTACACCACCACAACCCTCTTGATACTAAATATATAATTTATTAGCAAAACTCACTACTTATTCATGAAACAGCTCTGAAGCTGACGGTGTTTTAAATCAGAGAAGTGAGGTAAAAATACTAACTGCAATGATTTGGGATTTACTTAGTGTTCCTCTAAACAAAGACATGCTTTTGTACTCTGTTTGCAGGGCATTAGTGTATAGGATGATCGCTTAGGATATTTTCAAAATGAAAATATAAAAACACATAGGACTGTGTTATTAAAAGCAGCTGGGGTGGCTGCTTTCCATCGGGGTTTTTATAGTACGTTCAGAGTTGGCCTAAGATATGGGTCCTGAGGACCACTAACTGCCAGGCCACACAGCCCCCTTAGACGAGAGGAAGCAGTGAACACTCAGAGCTTCTGAAAGTCAAGCTTAAATGTAAGGGCTAAGCGACTCTTTACTGCTGCAACAACAAAACAAAAATTAAGACTATCTGCACATCTGCTTTTTTAAAAGTACGGTCCAGCTACAAGCTATATGAAAACGTTACGGTCAGCGTTTTGGTGCCTCCGATTTTCTCTTCCAATCGGTGGGTCATTTGACTACAGGCAGTAGTTACGGGCCGTCATTACTAGTCCGAAAGTGCTGCGAAAGTGAGTCTGTGCACAGGGAAGTGACAGCGCCGTTCAGCAGAAGTCGCATTTCCCATACATGGGCATTCACAGGCTTTCACAGAACATGGGAATAAAATCGCAGACAAATGTACAACAGCATGGCTGGGTTTGAGCAAGGATCGTTCTGTCCTGGCCTGTTTTTAAACAACCAAAACTAGTACATGCCTTTCTTAATGGGCGTTATAAAAATTAGCAGTAGACGTTTCCATTAGCAGCGTGTTCTGATTTATGTCACATTGCTTCAAATATAATCCCTTAAAGGAATTTTATAGAATTTATATAATAGTTTCTTTAGAAAAAGGCCATCTTCCTGTGTCAACAAGGGTTGTAGCAGGATGACAACTCCATGGCAGAAGAGACCAGAAAATAAAATTAAGCCGGTAGTTCTGATTCAGTAATGAAAGCCCCAAAAGGGCTGTTGGCTTTGTCTGGTTTTAGCAGCTTCAAAACTTTTCAGTTGGTTTGTTTTTTCATACACTGCCTCCGCTCACCCCATCCATCACTCTGCCACTCTGGCGGCTCACCGCATAATTGTCCTATCTGGGGGGTTATTTGAATCTAAATTTCTGTTTGAGCTATTAGAAGAAACACTTGACTTGGCATCCTCGGTATATGTTGACAAAAAGGCACAGGTGTTGTAACCTTTGCTTGATAAATCATTTACTTTTGCTACTTGACTCGCAAGCAATATGGGGGCATCAGCTTTTTAACTGCCTTTTCCATATGCAAATCAGAAATACAGTGTGCCTGGGGTACGCAGTCTTCACTTTCAAAAGCAAGTTGGGCTAGCTCTCTCATGGCCTAAGTAATAGACACGTCTCCCATATTGCCAAGGACTTGTAATAAGGAGAGTGGTAGAGGAATGGGAAATTACATCCCATTAATTAGGGACTAGCCTATCAGTAGCAACACCACTAATAAAGAATAAAGGGTTCTGGGTTTTGCGGTGGGGTTTTTTTCCTAGCCAAACGATAAAAGTAACTGTGAAACGCAGGATATGCGCTCAGAGTACGTGCGGCTGCTAACACTAAACTAGCAACCTGCTCTTTGTGACCGGAGCTTGCATTGGCACTCGCCGCTCTGAACAGTGTTTGCTGATCTCTAATGCCCTTGCTTTGCTCTGTAGTACAAAATTCCTTTAGAGATCATAAGTATTCAGTGTGCTGCAGCTCCACTTCACACCCAACGTTGTTTACTAGGCTGAGTCCTGTTTGCCACCTACTTACCCTACAACTTCCTGGAAATTGTACTTCGGATGCTAAAAACAGCTCCTGAGCAGCACATGCCTGCTCCATCTAATCCCTCCTACCTGCCAGTAGCCCACGTGCCTTACACAGTGAGGTTACGAGGATGCACCGAGCAGCAACTGCCTCCCACCGCAGGCACCCAGGCAGAGCATCAGCTGCTTTACCACCTGTGAGAAACTAAATGGTTTTCCTCTCTGCTTAAGAAAGTGTATCGTGCACCCTCTTGACCAGCTGTTTCAGGAAAAATCCCTCTCTAATGTAAACATGCTTTATAGCAGATCCATCCCAGTTAATTTCTAAAACTTAGTTAAGCACAAAACCAAATATTTATTCCCTTACCTTTCTGTAGGAAAAGATAAAACTATTTTCTAGAAGCACAGAAGTAGAAGCTCTTGCTGCTTCTGCCTTTGCAGCATCCCAAAGCTACAGTCAGATCATGGATAGTAAGCCAAGGACTTGTCTTTTCACAGTTTCCCTGGTGGGGCCCTGGTAGCCACCCAGCTATAACAGTGCCCTGGGTACAGCTCAGCCTTTATAATGCCAAATAATTGGAACAAAAGGCCCATAACTTACCTAGCACAGCGCAATAAAGGATTAAGAAAACCCCCAAAATTCAAACAAGTTTGTCTAGGCAGCAAACCGATCAGTGTGAAAACCAGCAAGTCCAGAAGCCTTATAAAGAGCGGGTACAAAAACACACGCGGTGAAACACATCTATAAAAGAGTAAGTTAGGGGGAGAAATTACTGAAGTTTAGCAAAATGTTTATAGTATAATCGCTAGCTTCTTTAGATCTGTTCCTGTTCTCTGCCCTTCCTGAATTAGACAGTGGTATCTTTGTAGCTTCCTTTAGGCTTTTATTTATCTCTAAAAAACCACCTTATGCCTCAGGTGCATATACAAACTTAATTGTACAATTACTTTCTTTTCGAGAGACAAGGGAAAGACTATTTTACTTCCCCGCAATCCTTTTAGAAAGCACACTGCAACCTGCAATTTTTCACTGGCAGCACTTTAAAACAAAGGGCAGGAGAAAAAAATGAGCTTTATGCTGTGTCCTGTAGGTTAACAGATGCGAGCTCTGTCAGGCAAGGGAGGGAGGCAAATTCGGGAGTAGATGGTCCTTCTGTGCTAACAGCCAGTCACTGCTGCCTAGGCACTTAATTCGGAGGAAGGTAGCGCAGGTGATGCCCCTCGCCGAGGCTGGAGGCGGCACGGGCGGGGGGAGGCAGGGAAGCAGTCTCGCAGGTACCACGGCCCGAAACCGTACAGGACTCATAGATCAAAGTCAGCACCTTGAATCGGAAGCTAACGCGGTTCCTCCAGAGCTATCGCTCGCGCAGCTGAAACCGCGTAGCTGTTTTGTGCCCAGGTTCCATTGCCACCCTATGGAAGAAAGAAACCAGTGCACACATTTTTCTTTTGACAGCTGAAGCATGTGCCTGGCTTCACGGGGGTTTTCCATTTTTGCTTCTCGCAGACCCCTGCCGCAGCGCCCTGCCCTTTGCCCCGCCAGAAAGGGGGCACAGCGCGTGTTGATGTGCTTTATTAACGAG